AGTTCTTTCTTTCTCTTGTGGTAGCCAGCTTCTAAAGTGAATTTTACCTTTCAGTATTCATTCCCATGTAGTAGGCAATTGCACTCAATTAACCAGGTGATCTAGTGAAGAAATTTCATTCCTCTAGTGAAGAGACATTGAGGCATTGAAGTGCTGGTTAGATTCCTCCACTGAGTGTAGCAGACTTGAGAAAGGCAGCAACACAGGAATGACTGGTATTGACAACTGGCAGCCTTATGTTCCTAGCATTGGGAAACACTTTTCAGGCATAGATCAAACTAAAAGCATTGGCAGGAAAACAAGGTCTAAAGATGAGGTTGAGGGTGTGGTTGTAAAACCCTTAACATTCCTAGAAAGATTGAAGGTGGTGCCTGCAAGGTCTGTCCAGCCTGCTAATAGAGTGTCTAAGGAGCTTCAGGCAGTGAAGGGTTTCTCTTGAGATTCATAGATGTGGCTTTTGTCTATTGGAGTGAAACAGAAAGATTCACAGAAGATTTAGGGCTTCTTTGAGAGAATTGTATTTGCAGAAATTCTTACACTGAGACAAAATTATAAAATTAAGAGACATTTTGCACCCTCAGACTTTTATTAGAAAGTCAGGAAAGGAAGTAGACTGAGATGGGGGGAGGGGAGAGGAGAAGGGGACATAAAAAGGAAAAAGGTGTATTTTGTACATGTGCCAACTCCTCATGATGGATGCAATCATTATGAATTGCAAGTGTGTACTGATAAAAATTAAAAATAAAGAAAGCAGACCAACAAAGCTCCACAGCTGTAAATGTGGGTTTCTTTTCAAGGAAAAGTGAAGATTATTTTTGGGGTGGGATGAAGATTATAGTGGGTAGAGCCAAAAAGCTTGAAGTAGTTTCTGATCTGGAGTTCTAGTAAAGGAAATACCAACCTTGCATAGGTTGAAAATTTCTGTGGACCTGTAACTGCTGTGTACCTTTCATGTACCCGATGCTCTGCAGTGTCTATACTGATTGTGATATACCTGTGCCACCACTGGATGTTGAAAACAGGTGGTGGATAGGCAACTTCTTTTAGCTTCCTAGCAATCAGCTTGAAAAGAGCTCTACCCAGGGGCTATGCTTAAAAAATTATACCCAACGTACCTCATGTATACCTGGATCTAGCTTAGATAATGAGATTCCCAACTTTGGTCTGACCTTGTAAAGCATTGATAATTCTGGGGCTTGATTAGAAGTTAGTGAATTTTGCACGTGGAGGAAATATAGATTGCTGGGGATTCAAAGCAAAAGGTGGTAGCTGATCGTCCTGTGTTTCTTACCAGGTATTCATGTTCTTGTGTAGTGTTCTGTACACTGGACTGAGCTGACTTTTGTAACCAGTAGAATTTTGAGGCAATGATGAGATGTGGTTCTAAATGCTACAATATGCTTCCCTCTTGCTCTCTCTTGGGTTGCTGGCTTTGTCAAAATAATCCTGTGGAGATGTCCATTTGGTAGAGAATGGAGGCTTCCTGAGACAACTAGCCATGATTTGGCTGCTGGGTAAGTGAGCTACCTTGGGGATGACTCCCAGCTTCAGGAAAATCTTCAGATAACTGCACTCTGGACTGACATCCTGCCCACAGCCTGATGAGAATCCCCCAAGTCAGAGCCATTCAGTGAAGGCCACTTTCAGGTTTCTAACACTCCAAAATGTGGGACATCAACATCTGTTGCCAGGCCAGGGAGATAGCTCAGTGGTCTAAACCCCTGCCTGGAAAATACAAGGTCCAGGTTTGATCCCCGATACTACATGCTATGCTGGCCCTGTCCCAGGCCCACTGAGGTGGCCACTGAAACTGGGAGTGGTGGTACAAGCTTGTAATACCAGTGTTGGGGATGCTAAAATAGGAGGATCACTAGAGTCCAAGCTGCATAGTGAGACCCTGTACCAAATACATAAATTAAAAAAATGTTACCATAAGCAGCTAAGATTTGAGATAATGTGCTATGCAGTATAGGCCATTAATAGATGTACTAAAGTGAACTATACAAACCTGAGAACTTGTGTAGATTTTTTGACTTTCCCATCCTTAGTTTTTAGTAAGCATGGCAGTTTATTAATCGGTGGAAAGGTTAGAAAGAATATGGAACTCTTAAGCCATCTACCTTTTCTATTTATATATAGACTACCTCTGTACAGTCTTTGAGTGAAAAGGGTTAATAGATACCTTTAAGTTTCATCATTACATTTTTTTTCTTTTGAGAAGCCAGTTTTGGTCTGAAAGTATTGGGATTGCACATGTTTAGTGCAGGCTTCTGACATAGAGTATTTTATGGAAGTTAGACCATGAAGTATTTGTATGATGGATTGGGCAGAGATGGCCTCCTTCCTTTTGCAGAGAGAAGTGGTTTGCCCTGGGTAGTGGGTTACAGATTCATACACTGCACACTGTACAGATGAGGAAAATGGAGCCAGAGGGCTAACTAATCTTTCTAAAGGATGTAGTTGTTAGTGGTAGGGCTAACTTGGAGTCCAGCTACCAGTTTAGTTAGCTAAGATGGCTTTGGTTTGTCTTTTTTTGCTCATTTCAAGTAACGTGATTCCATGAAAAGAGTACTAAGTGCTTTCCTTTTATTATCTTGAACTGGGCGTGTCTTCTTGGTGTTGAGCAGACATGAAAATTTTATTTTACAATTGCATATCCCTTGAGGCAACTCTCTGCCAGGGCCTTTTGAAACTGCCAAATGAATAAATTTCCAGTGGGCCCAAATCCAGTAAGCATCTTGCAGATACCAATTCCAATCTCTGTATAACCCACTCCTGCCACATAGTCCATTTGTGGCTTTGTTCCCAAAGTCTTTCTGCTTTAAAACAATGTATTGAACTATGTTAAAGATATTCTGTGTGTGGTTAAGATAAAGGCTTTGCCTAAGACTAAAATTGAATTATACTTGTTTTTTCATGAACTTTGTGTGTAATGAAGTACAGTCACTTTAGATTTGAAGAATTTTTCTCTCTAAATATTCAGATAAGGGGCCGGGGAGATGGTTCAGTGGAATAAGCGCTTCCCTGGCAAGCGCAAGGGCCTGAGTTCAATCCCTGGTTCTGAAAAAAAAAAAAAAAAAAAACACCTCAGATGAAATTTGTGGAATGTGTGACTCTGTCCTTATCAACTTGTACACATAGTTAACCAGATAAATGCTATTATGTTTTATAAAATTGTTTTGGCTCTCAATTCTGTATGTCTTAAACTCAGTTACCATTTTGAGTTTGATTTTGTTTTAATACTTCATAATACTTTATTTTTTTGTGGTGCTAGAACTTGAACCCAGGGCCTCAAGCATGCTAGGAAGTCTTTTAACACTGAGTTATGCCTCTAGCTTAATACTTTGTAATACTGTAAATATTCAGAGCCAAACTGAGTTGATAGAAATACTTCTGCTACTTGACTTTTCATATTTTTTTGATGAGAAATTTGCTTCCTATAAAATTTGGAATTATTATGCCAAATTCCCTCCCTCCCCTTTGGTCTGTTCCTTACAGGACCAGATTTTACAACCATTCATTTGTGTCATCTGGCAAATACAAGTAGTAGGTTTTAAATATTATTAATATGACAATGAATGTATCTGTTTGTTTCTCCTGGAATTTTACCAATAAATTATTTCTCCCTTTTCTGCATAAAATCACATTAAATGTCTCATTAAGTTGCTAACATTTTGGCTTCTTCCATTTAAAAAATATTTATTTATTTATTTGGCACAGGGACTTTCTACATAGCTCAGACTCATAGTGATCCTCCTGTCTCAGCCTCCCCAGCACTGGGATTACAGGCATGCACCACTAAGCCTGGTTTCTGTGGTTTACACTGCAATATCCGGGCTCCAGGGTCTGCATAACATGTGGTATACGGAATCAAACCTGGGTCTTTGTGCTTGCCAGGCAGGAGGTTAGACTGCTGAGCTGTCTCTCCAGCCTGACTTCTTCCATTTTTGAGGACATCTTATTTAAAACAATTCATGTGTTTCAACTTCTAACTGGGTAATCCACTCTGCCTTTTACTGACCATAACCTGGGACAACTGCTCCCTTCCACAAATAGTGATTTTTTAAAGAATCACTAGCAATCAATGTTGCTTTTCACTGTGCCACCTTCTCTTGCACCTTCCCCATGTCTCTTGTTCTCCAGGAACCTAAGCGTCCTGCCTTGCCCCTGCCTGCTTTCCCCTCTAGTCCTTCCCGCCCCCGCTGCCATGCCACCTCAGCTTCTCCGCCTGTGGGATGAGCTGCCAGATGCAGGAGGAGTGAGTGCCTTCTCTGTGGCGGGCTGTCTTCTGGTCTGTGAAAGCTGGCCCTGGGGGAGGTGAGGTCTCAGGAGGCTCACACCTCAGAGGGGTGGCTAGTGTGATTAGGGGACATGCGTGTGTTGGTGTGTAAGGAGGACATTCCCTTGCCTGAGAGCCTCAACAAAGCAAAAGAAGCAGTTCATATCAGATCACCACAAACTCAGTCCTGTCAAAGTGCTTTTTTCTTTCTTTTTGCAAAGTAGCAACAATGAAGCCGAAGCTAATTCTGGTAGTCAAATGTGTGTGGTTGGAGTGCAGCTGACTGTAAAATAGGATATATTGTGGTCCCTGTTGGTGCCACAGTTTGTTAAAAAGCATTGGTTGGTAAATGGAGGATTGGGGTTTCGAAATTAGATACAAGGGCAGCTTTGGAGGAGGAGGTTAGAGTTTTCTTTTTCTTTTTATGGGGGGGGGGGCAGCCCAGGAGACAGGTGCAGGGAGTGAGTAATGTGCCACTCCTAAGCCACGCGGCTTAGCCAATGAGCGCCAGGCTTCCCCGTGGTCCTGTAGTATGGTTTCCCTGTCCGTCAAGAGCTAGCTCAGCGACCAAACCCAGATTTCAGGTGTGGTATTCCACAGTCGTTCTGTAATTTGTAATCATAGAAACAGAATGTTCCTCCTCTTATTTCTTCCCTGCCAACAGTTTCTGGGTGGGTGAATGTCAGTAGCTGGAGTTATTTTTAAAGAGGAGAGGTGAGGCTTGTCGTGCGAAGCTGGGAAGAGGGCGTTTGTTTGCAGAGCAGAGCTGACATCAAAGTGTAGATTACTGCTCAGTGGCTGGGCGCTTGTCCTATACCAGGTAATGTTTAACGTGCCAGTCACAAAGATCACAGAAACAGTATATGCCTGAGCACAAGATAGCACTACCTTTTATGCTCTGGAGACTGAGAAGCTCTGTGTGCCTACGTATTTTTTTTTTTTTTTTAAATATACATACGCGTTGGTCTTTCCTGGCTGTAATTGGACTTTGAATCTGGGAAGTTATATTATAAAATTTTTAACCTTTGAGAGCAAGCTTGGCTAAGCAACCACTTTCCAATTCTTTTCACAGGATAATGTAAACGTTTTTTTGAAAGCTTGTGAACAGATTGGATTGAAAGAAGCCCAGCTTTTCCATCCTGGGGACCTACAGGATTTATCGAATCGAGTCAATGTCAAGTAAGTTTCACTGGTTTGTTATATGTATATTTAAACTCGGGGCTTGCAGCTTAAGTGAAAATAATTGCTGAGAGCTCATGATTACTGAAAAACCATTCATCTCTGTTCTTCCTCTGTTCTCATTCCAAAATAGACTACTTAAAAAATGGCTTGAGGTCTGTCTGTGAATGTGAAGCTGTCTATAATCGGTAGTGTGTCATGCTCTTAAATCTCTGTGCTGAATGAAATGGTAGTTTATGTTTTAATGCTTTTCCAGGGTGGTAGTGTTTGCTTGCTAATGGTAAGGATAGCTTTTGTACTTATAAAGTATATTGTAGTTTACAGACTGAAAATAATTATTTACAAGTAATTTTTACAATATATGTACATAAGACTTTTTTTTTTTTTTTTTTTTTTTTTTGGTAGTGGGAATTGAACTCCGGGCTTCATGCTTGCCAGGCAGGTGCTGTGCCACTCAGCTACATCCCCAATTTCAAAGACATAATTGTTAACAAAAGAATTAGACTAACACAGTGGTAAAAAGAGATCTTGTTAATATTTGGAAGATAGACGTGCCTGGGACCACCTTGTAATGCCAGTAACCCTGTCAGTTGTGATTGCTTTTTAAAAAATGAGTTGTTCTTACTCTTTTTGATATTTGGACAAGAAAGCAAAAGTAGGGGTGAAAAGAGGTATGCTTTTAGATTTTAAGAAGAAAATGGTATGGTTTCAGGAAATTTGGTTTTAAACTTTTATGAGATTTTTTTTTCCCTATAAATCTAATTTGCTTACAGGAAATCAGTAATGAAGTCAAATTACCAGATAAATGTGGCAGCCAAATGATTTAATTTTATAATAATGACGGCCTCCTTCTAGGGGTTTAACATCTAATTAACATTTTTTCCTTGTAAGAAAATATATACTTTATTCTGTCTGGGCAAAAAATACAAGTGGAAAAATTGGTGTTTTCCAGTTCACATGAAGATTTAATTTATGTGGTTAATATCTCTGGTTAATAAGGGCCTGAGTTCAATCCCCAGTTCTGCCAAAAAAAAAATAATAATAATATCTCTCTCTTATAATAATATCTCTCTAATGTCAGTTGTTACTAAAAATTGACTATAACAATTTACATATGACCATTGTTTTATGAAAAAAATAACAATAAGTAACTTAGTATACACTGTCTTTTAACAGTACAACCTGAAATTTAAGTTGGCATTGGTTTTTAAAAAAGTCTAACAATATTTTAAGAAATGAGCCAGCAATTTCAGACCTACCTGTATAATTCTAGTGAAGGTTTGTCTTAATCCATAGCAGTAACTTATGCATGGCAAATAAGAGTCTCAGCATTCCTGACTGACATACAGTTGAGTGGTCCTAAGTTTCATCCCCAGAGTACTTACTTCTGCAGTAGAGAGGGTGTGTTTAGTTTTCATGAAAAATAAGAATTTAAATTAATGTTTTTCCTGATCATCATACTCTGATGGTCAAAGAAACTGTAGAGTTTGAAAGTCTTCTTTGTAAGTTGTTGATGCTCATTAAGGTAAATGTGCTTCCCTCTAAAATCATATTGCTTTGAAACTCTGTACCCTGTAGTTGAGTAGGCTACAGACTGAGTGAAACTTGTTGTTGGCTTGGTATCCCAAGAGTGCACATACAAAACTTGCCTGGAGCCTGCCTCAGGAGCCGTTGGGGCTAAAATGGCTAAGAAAAAACTCTATCAGAGCTCAGCCGTTAGTGAAATTACAGGGCTGACAAAGTGAAACCAGGAGGTCACGTAGTTACAGCAGCACTAGTGAGAAGTATGCAGAACAACTTGTTTTAGTGGAAACCACAGTCTATCAAAGCAAGGTGTGCCTCCATCTTCTCAGAGAGTGTGCCCCAGTGAGGACTTTGGCTTAGCTCGAGAGCTTTTCCCCTAATCAAAGTATTTTGTTCGATCAGGAATGAGGGTATTGGGCACTGCTGAGCCTTCCAGATAAGACCCAGGGGAGCTGGCAAATGACTGCTTTAAAAACATTGGCTGAGCTCTTAAACCTTGAGATAGCATTTTTTTTTTAAAGGAAGCAGACTTAAGGGAAGGCAAATAGTTACTTACTAAACAGTAATGCTTTCCTTAGTTTCTAGTCTTGCTCTTATGTAATATGGGGACTCCTGTAAGTTGAAAAACCTGCCCTATCATTATCGTAGATTAAAGACTTGATGTTGGTTAGATCAGTGGAACTCAACTGGAGGCATTCGTGCCCCTCTGAGGACATTTGGCCGTGTCTGGAGACATTTCTGGTCGCAATACTGGGGTAGGGGTGTCACAGGGATTTAGTGGGTCAGGAATGGTGCTAAGTACCCTGAAGTGCACAGGACAGTTGTCATGAGGCAGAATTTTTCTACTTCAAATAATAATGCTGGAGTTGAGAGATTCTGGCACAGACTTAGAATTCCTTGCTCATTCCCTCCTTGCCAGGAAAACAGCTGAGTGGAAAGGAAGGCTACTGCCTGTGACAGTCGTTTGACTCACTGCTGCAGGTCACTTCTCCACTGTCAGGCAATAATGTCTGCATTTCCTTGTTCCTGTGTTTATTCAATTGGAAATCTCATGATAATTTGTTTGAGAATGTAGTAATGGAAGTTGTATTGTGAGATTATTTTGCTCATCTGTATGTATTTAATTTAGCAAAAATGTGGCAAATGATTTGAGTATTTTAAGTGCTCGGTCATTACGCAGCTGCCCAGGGTGTAGCAGTGCCTAGCCCTGTTGCTGGCCTCACTGTAAACACAACGTAACCATAACATACTGCAAGCAAACAGGACAGATAGTTAATATCTTCCATGGTGTCCAGCGTGAGGTGGTTTTGTGAGGGGACAAACACACATGGGTGTATAGGGCCTGAGAGGTGTGTATGCTGAGAACGAACTGCTGGAGCAGAAACAATTAAAGAGCTGTTGGTAGCAAATAATTTCAGTAATCCAGACCTGAACTACAACTATTTTCCAGCAATTTGAGATTTACAAATAATTTGTAAATTTGTCACTGGTGAGCCAGAACTAGAGTATTCTTTATACTTTTGAAATTATACATACTCATATGGGATCTGATTTTCTAAATGAATGAAGTTAAGTTGCAGGAAGTAGTAGTTTGAACTTTTCCAGGTGTATTTGAATGATACCGTTCATCTTGGTATTGCATCTACTTGAGTCAGCTGCTATTTTTATTTTTGACGTCTCCTGACTTCATGGATAGGAGCAATCTTTACTTTTTCCTTTCCAATAGGATCATAAGCAAATTTATGATTCAGTCTCCATGAATGGCAGGTGGAAGTCTACCCCAACCTGAGGCATGGCATCAGTCTTACATCATATTAACAATACTTTGTCCTACATCTGTGCTGAATTTCACACACAGTCGGCACAGCTTCTATAAAAAGCGTGTAGGAGCATAAGCACACAAAATGCCATAGCACACCAGGGAGCTCTGATAGTAAGCGTTATGGATTTTGTAGTGGCATCTGGTCCTTAGCAAGAGCAGAACATTTGCTCCCTGTGAAAAGCAACTCCAGAGTGCAGCCCGGAGGCCCTGTACTGGGGAGCTCAGAGCTGGCAGAAGGCGGGGCTTCATGTTAAAGGTTTTAATTTTGTATGTGTAGTGCCTTGACTTAGAAACTAAGTCCTGTATTTAAACCATTGCTGTAAGCAATTTATTTCAAAACATTTTAAGGGGAGAATTTGAACATATTGTAAATATGCTGTTTTTTTTTTTTTTCATTCCACCCCCTACGATCCAATCCAGATTTTAGCACTTCTTCAGATACATCTGTTCTTAATGTGACTCAGGATGGTAGTGCTTTTCAGCACAGTATTTCAGTCATATGAAGAAAGTGTTTTCTTGCAGAGACTTACTCGGTCATTGGGTACTAATGTTTAAGTATAAAATGTAATTTTAAATAAACATTGATATTGCCCAAGGGGTTTTTAATATATTAAAGTGAGGTACAGAAATAAAATCTTATTTTTACACATGCCAAGTGGTAAAGGCATAGTGGTTGAAAACAAAATTAGTGTTAACATCTTCCATTGTTAACATAATGGAAGCTCAAAATATTTTAAGGGTGCTGAGTGTTCTCTAAAGCGTCAGGGTTCTTGGTTTTACTATAGTCATTCCTCAGGAGTCAAGGTCCCAGATGGTGTCCTCATTTAACAATATGCCAGTCTGCTTGAGATATGTAAGTGTATTTAAGATTTATTTCTGTAAGGAAAACATAATTTTGAATTCTTTAATTTCCACCCCTTTCTAATTTAAACTTGGTTTTTACTTCCTTTCTTTGGCAAATTTATCTTTCAAAAGGAGTTTTTAACATCTTAATCTTTGAAGGCAAGTTTAATGATATCTAAACTTAGATCTGCAACTTGAGCAGGGTGACTTCCACCTGTCAATTCATGTTACTATTTTTAAATGTTCTTTTCCTACCAATTTACCAGAAAATAAAAACAAAGGAATTTCATTGTACTGTCAGGCCCTGAACTGTGCCATTTTTTGGTATGAGGTACTTATTGGGAGGGGACTTATTCTTCGTTTTGAATTCTTGATCTGTTTCTCAGATACACAAGTTTCTGAAGGGTAGCTTTCCTTCCTAATTTCCATATTCTCTCACACCCTGTAAGCCATAGGGCTGGATTTTGTCTTGGCCTGCTGGGTATGATTTCATACCGAATCTGGCCAGGGTCCTTATCTTAAGAAGTGACCTCACTGATGTCCACTGCTTCAAAGAGTTTCACTTGGTGCCTAATCTGATTAGCTATTGATGTGAGTTAATTTATGAAAAGATGACAGTCTGTTACTTTTGTTATCCAATAGCATTTGTTTCATAACAAGGCCCTTAAAGGGCTAAACCAAAAAGATACTTTTGGGGAAGATACTCCTGTCTTTTTTTTTTTTTTTTTTAATAATTTTATTGAGAAACAAATAGCAATGAGACAGTTTCAAAACTGATTAGTAGGACAGTTTCAATAATGAATACATTGCA